GCTCCATCCCATCTCTCCCTCATCCCCGGGGGTGAGATCTGGTACAGAGAAAGAGGGAAAGGTGCCAGAGATGAAGTGTGGGAGGAACCACTGGAATTTGGAAGCTGGATCCCTTTCCTGCCTCTGGTTCTCTTGGAATCGCAGGTGGGCATTCCTGTCCTGAAGGAAGTTGAACAGATTAAATAGAAAGTGGGTGTCTTGGCTTGAGAAGTTTCTCAGGTCAACTCACAGCGCAGCTAATGAACAGACCAAGCATGAATGTTAGTGGGATGTAAGGAGAGAATAACATGGGAACAAACACATTAGCATATGTAAACTAGATAGCCAATGGGAATTTGCTGTTTGACTCAGGAACTCAAACTGAGGCTCTGGAACAACCTAGAGGGGTGGGGTAGGGAGGGAGGTTCAATAGTGAGGGGACGTAGGCATACCTATGGCTGATTCATGTTGATGTTTGGCAGAAACCAATACAATACTGTAGAGCAATTATTCTTCAATTAAAATGAATTTAATTACAAAAAAAAAGTAAATGGGAAAGCAAACGAGAAAAAGAAGATACCATTCAGAAACCAAGCTCTGAGGCCTTTCAGAGACAGAGCCAGAAATCCCATCCTAAGAGACATCTCCCACTTAATATGTCTAAACAGGCCTTTCTTTCTGCATCTCCTGGTCAGTACTGCCATTCACCTCGTTGTCGTCGTTGTTCACCTGCTCCGTCGTGTCCGACTCTTTGTGACCCCATGGACTGCAGCATGCCAGGCCTCCCTGTCCATCACCAACTCCCAGAGTTTACTCAAACTCATGTCCATTAAGTTGGTGATGCCATCCAACCATCTCAACCTCTGTCACCCCCTTCTCCTACTGCCCTCAATCTTTCCCAGCATCCACCTTGTTGCTCAAGTTAAGTACTTGGGAGATGCCCATTCCTCCCCCCTGCTCATGTGTGATCCATCTATGAGCCTTGTCCAGCTCCTCACAGCTGGCCTGATCCCATGTCCAGTTTCTGCCCACAGCACTCCATTCCATCAGTGTACCAGTGCCTCTGGGCTGCCCCTTTGGGCTTGGGACACTTTGGGGAGGGATATCCAGAGTCTTGCACACCAAATGTGATCAAGAAGGGATCTGGGTGGGCTCTGAACATTCACAGCCCCTCCAGCCCATGCGTTCTTCACACTGCGGGCATGGCCACAGAAGGCCAGTCAGGACTATTGTCTGGGGAAGGGCAGGGCTGCCCTTGATTCTCTCTTCAGGATTCCTCCTGACCAAGAAGACCCACTTTGGTCATGCATGCTGCTACCATCCATCCCAAATCACCCACAATGGGTCCATCACCCCTCACTGGACTACTGCCTCCAGGACCACTTCCTGGTTATCTGTTCTTCCCCCAGCATCCAGGATGATCTTTCAAAAATATAAATCAGGTCATGTCACCACCTTCCTTAAAACTCCCCCTCACACTTAGAATGAAATCCCATCTCCTTGCCCTCATAGGCTCCCCTGGGGCGGCCAGGAGGAAGGGCATGTATTTTCTGTGCTTATCTATGGGGTTTGCATCACAAGCTTTGCACCAGATAGTCTGGGCTCAGATCCCGTTTAGCTACCTATCATTTCTCTAAATTTAAGCAACTTCCTTAAAGCCCTCAAAGCCTTAGTTTCATTATGTATAACTGGCAATGAGTTTTTGAGCACCTGCTTTACAGAGTGGGTGTCACAGGGGTAATTCATGAAAAGCCCTCATTACACTCATACTTAACTTCAGTTGATAAAAATAATCAGAACAACGGAAACATTAACTCATTTAAAGCCAGGCTCTGAATCTATTTATTGTTAATAAATATCTAAATCTAGATATTGTTAATCTATTTACTGTCATTTATTGTTGTTGTTTGGTCACTAAGTCATGGCCAACTATTTATGACCCCATGGACTGTAGCCCCCCTTCTCCAAGGAAATGACATCTCCAAAGACATTTATAGCTAGAAAATATCCAGAATACCATGTTAGGATTGTTGAGGGTATTACAACTTTAAGAGACAACTAGAAAGCACTTATTTTATGAGACTGCAAGTCTGCTGAGATTTCCCCTCATTCTGAATTTCAGTCAAGAAGGAATAGGGGAAAAGAAATAAATAATAAATGTAGGTAACAAATAAATCAAACTTTGAAGAACTGTCTGGCTGTGTGAAAGCCCACTCTTTATTCAGAGTATGACTCTCACCTACAGTACCTCTGACAGGCATTGTCCAGCCACTCTATAGCTGGGGCACACACACGGTTCACAGAACCCATTATATTTTCAAGCAATAGCAATATTTATAAGGAACACTATATAAAAACTAAAACTTATTTTCCTTTAATGAGTACCCACTAGTCTTTGTTTCACCCTCTGGAGCGCCTCGGATGTCATTTAAAATCTCTTCCACATGACAGCCTTTTGAATAGTTATAAACAGCTGCCTTATTCCCCACTAAGCAGTCTCTCCTATAGGTTAAAGTTCCAGGGTCTTCAATCCTTCTTCACAGCACATGGTTTCTAGACCCCATCACCCTGGTCCTATTTTTCTGAGCATGCTGGTCTGTGAGCATCCCCTGTTGATCGGACTCCCCAACATACACACTATCCTCTGGGAGTGGTTCTGCCATGCTAAAAGGAGGGAGTATCACTTCCCTCATTTTGGATATCATGTTTTTATTAATACAGCAAAAGATCATATGATCTTCCCTGGCAGACACATTGAGTTGCTTTACAGTCTACTAAAATGTCCGATGCTTTTCATGCACACTTCCTCTAAGTCATGCCCCCCACATCAACATTCCTGTTTGGTCTTCTCATCTACAAGTGGGGATTTTCATGTCTCCCCCATCTATTTCATTTTGTTGGTATCTCTTTACTGTTCCAGCCTCTGCAGATCATTTTGGATCAGGATTCTCTGACCTGTTAGTTAGTATACACAGTTTCACACCACACGAGTATTGGACGTCATCCATGTCCTCATGCTAGTCCCTGCAAAGTTATTGAGCAGGTCCCCGCCATCTGCCACTCAGCTCTGCTTCCAGGCTCAGAGGGGCTCATTTAACTATCACTCTTTATACTCATTCAACTAGCATGGCAGTCATACCCAAGGGTGACTCCCGGTGACTCATGCCCTGGTATAATCCTTTCCCCTTAAGCATGGAAACTGTAACTTGCTTCTAACCAACTGTATATGGCAAAGGTGATGGGATGTCACTCCCTTGACCAGGTTACATTATATAAGATTCTATCTTTGCAGGCTGGAGCGAGAGAGACTCCCTTACTGGGTGTAAAGAAGCTGCAATGGTTTGAGATGGCCACATGGCAAGGGGCTGGGGTGACCTCTAGGACCTGACAGCCCATCTTACCATCCCGATTCCCAACAGATGAATTCTGCCAAGAACCTGAAGGAGTGTGGAAATGAGGCTTTCCCTAGTCAAGACTCTGATGAAACCATAGCCCCTCACTGAGCCTGCATATGGGCAAGACCCTAAGCAAAGGATACACCTATGCTGTGCCCAGATTCCTGACCACAGAAACTGTGAGATGAGAAATGGGTGCTGTAAGTGCTGAGTTTTTAGTAATTTGTCATGCAGCACAGAAAACGAATACAACAAATAAACCCATCTAATTGGTCTATCATCCAGCACTGATTGCTCCACCTTGTTCTGAAGGGTATCACTGCCAGGAGCCTCGCTGAAGTCTGGATATGCTATTTTTCATTCTCCTAGTTTAAACAATATACTATCTCTGTTACTGTCAGGAAATAAAATGAAGTTCACTGGCCTCTTTCTTAGTGAAGTCATTCTGATGATTATTGTTTTCCTGAAAGCTCAAAAATGATCTGATCTGATCCAAGGACTTTCAGCTTATATGGATGACCTGGTTTGGAGCAAAACTCAGATTTTATATGTAAGTCACATCGTTTCCCTCCTCTGCAGCCTTACAGTTACTGTGATGGCCAGTCATCCATTGCTCATGGCACTTGGAAGTAGGAACCTCTTAATGATCACTCCATGATCTAAAAGATTGAATCTTTCTTCCAAAGGAGCCCAATTTATAATGGCATTGAAATAGCTAGGCACTGAAAAATTCCAAATTAACAAGTCTTTCATTCATAAACATTTAATGGAACGTCTTTAAGCACTGTCCACAAATTCTTAGTTATGCTTCCCTTCCTTTCGAGAAATAGAACTTAATTCCCTTCCCCTTTGAGTGTGAGATGGACTTAGTGACTTGTTTCTAAAGAAGAGGATATGGTGGAATGATGGTATGTGACTTTTGAGGCTAGGTCATAAAAGACATCTTGGCTTCCTTCTTTCTGTTTCTCTTGGATCATTTGCTCTGGAGGCAGCCAGCTGCCCTGCTGTGAGGACATTCAAGCAATTTCACATAATGAGGAACCAAGGCCACCTGCCAATAACCAACAAGACCAAGAGCCATATGAATGAGCCATCTTGGAAGCAGCTCCTCGCCCCAATTAAAGCTTCAGAAGACTACAGCCCCAGGGCTTCCCTGGAGGTCCAGTGGTTAATTCTGGGGACATGAGTTCCATCCCTGTTCCAGGAAGATTCCACATACCTCGGGGCAACTAGGCCCAGGTGCCACAACTACTGAAGCCCCCAAGGACCTGGAGCCCATGCTCTGCAACAAGAGAGGCCACTGCAATGAGAAGCCCGTGCACCGCAACTAGAGAGGAGGCCCTACTTGCCGCAGCTAGAGAAAGTCTGTGAGCAGCAATAAAGACCTCCCTGCCCCAGCACAACCAAAAATAGGTAAATAAGAAGACTATAGTTCCAGCTATCATCTTAACTACAACCTCATGAGAGATACTGAGCCAAAACCACCAACTTATACTAAGCTACTCCCGAATCCCTGACCCACAGGAACTACAAAATAATACAGGCTTACTGTTTTAAATTGTCAAGTTTTAAGGTCATTTGTTCTACAACCACAGATAACAATGTAAGTTCAGAATTCCCACTTACCTTGCAGGATGGTAAAATTCTTGATGAGCTGACCATGCTTGGAGTCCACCAGCTTCATTTCTTCCATAATCACTGACAAGTTGGCCACTTCCGTGTCCAACCTCGACCTCATCAAATCTTGCTGCATCCTGAGAGAAACAGAATCCAAACGGATGTTGGCCAGCGTGTTATTCAGGGAGGTCAGATCGTCCGTGTGTTTGGTCAGCGTGTCCGTGCACGTGGTCCTGACTTCGTTCAGGTTGCTGGTCAGCGTCCGCAGGTAGTGGGCTGTGTAGCTGATATTGCTGATGATGTTCACAATGTCTGACTCAAAGAGCTGGAAGCGCTCCTCAAGCTGGCTGAACTTGGCCGCCGTTCTGTTCTCCGCATCCCTGTGTACGTCCTGCAGGTCCTTCAGGTTCTGCTCGTTGGCTTGGGAGGCTGTGGTGATATTGTCCATCTGCCCTGCGAAGGAGCTGAGCTGGCTGTTCATGTCCTCCAGGGTGTCGTTGTTGGCTTTGGCCAAGGCGGAGTTATTGGCAGCCAGCGTCTGCAGGCTCTGCACCTTCTCCTTCAGCCAATCCGTGTCCTTCTTGGCTTGAAGGAAGACCTGCTGTAGGTTCTGGAAGTCGTTCTTGATGCGCTGGATCGCCTGGCTCGTGTCATCCACAGAGCGCTGCAGATTCGTGATGAGGTTCCTCTGCTGCACCTGGGTCAGGTTCAGGTTGTTGAGGTTCATGATGACCACGTTGTGAGAGTACATTTGGCTCTGCAGGTTGCCCTGCAGCACGCTCGTGTCCTGCTGAAGATTCGTGACGTAGCCGTTATACGCCTGCAGGGTTTTGTTGACAGTGGTGATGAGGAAGGAGTTATTCTCCAAAGTTTCCTTCAGTTGACTCTGCCGGTCCACCAGCGCATCCCCGCTTGCCTGTAACTTCTCCAGCGTATCTTTGTTCTTGCTGGTCTTTTCCGTTATCTCATGAAGCTGCTGACGGAGATCCAGGATGTCCGACCTGAAGGTGGAGAGTTCTGAGTTGGTGCTGAGCGCTTTCTTTCCCGTTTGGTCCCCTGGAATCAGACATGTGTGTTACTCAGGTTGGTGGGATGGAGATGTGTTCAGGTGAGGTCACAGATTCCCAAGAATAAAATAGAGTTTTATTCATAACTGGAATGTGCTCTATTTCAGACAGAAAACTTGTGTGATGTGCTCACTGCATGCATTAGTAAAATCTACATCTTTGTTAGACCTGGGTCCTCAGGAATTGGAAAGGGTGCAAAATACCAGCACAGATTAACCTGGGTGAACACTTTTCTCCAGGAAGGAAGGGGAATTTACTTGCTTCTAGAGCACTAGGAAGGATGACAAGAAGGCAACAACCTATTTGTTAAGTTCACCAAAATTATTCTTTTAAAAATTGGAGAAAAAAAATCACATAATAAAATAGGCTAGAATCTTCTATTTCTCAAAATTAATTTCTACAATTATTTTGTGCAGTTTAAAATATTTCAAATAAGAATTTACCAAGCATTTTATAAAAGAGCTTTTGATAAAGGGTATTTGTGTTTTTTTTCCATCAGGATTGATCTTCAGATTTTATTTGGTACACAATAGTATTTTTGGCGGGGAGGGGATTCAACTTCAAAATTGGTCTTAATTTTAAAATTTTAAAGCTTTTGAATTAAATCATGAGGAAAGATTAACACACAATATGAAAGGTTAAGGTCTTTCTGGGTGAATGTGAGTTTAGAGCCATGTCATTCTTAAAAAAAACAAAACAAAACTGTGGTCATTTACATAGAGTTGAGTTAGGGCAGCTGTCCCCAACCTCTTGGATCTAATGTCTGATGACCTGAGGTGGAGCTGATGTAATAAGAATAGAAAAAAAGTGCACAGTAAATGTGATGCACTTGAGTCATCCCCAAACCATCCTCCCTCCCACCCTTGGTCAGTGGAAAAACTGTTTTCCATGAAATCAGTGCCTGGTACCAAGAAGGTTAGGGACCTCTGAGTTACAGGGACTCAACTTCATAGTTCATGTTCATTGCAGATTACCTAATTTTTTCAGGTCGCTTTCCACTGCTGTGAGCTTGTCATCATAGGTTTGGCGAGATGTCTCCATGCCACCTGTAACATTGTCCATTTTCTCTACAACTAAGATTTGGAAATCAATGGATTAATGCACATACCTGCTCACATTTTATCTTTCAGTTTCAACAAAAGATCATTTCGTGATAGAATAAAGGAAACAGAATAAAACAAAAAGTATAAATGAAATCAAATCTAGGGGGAAAGCCATTCTTTCAGGAAAATAAATAACATACTTGTTGCAAACCCCAATGGCAGTTTAGTTGGTTGAGAACTCTAGGTTCTTAGCTGTTCTCATGATTATGTAGTGCCTTGGGGACTCAAGAAATAGTTTAGAACTCACTAAATTTTTTGTATTATAAAAGTCCTCAGTTTGTATTATAATTTATATTAATTTCCATAGGTGGAAGCATAACACTGTAATTTATTTACAAAATTGTGTCACTCAGACTCCCTGCCATTCTTGGCAGGTGTGACTCACTTATCTGCAAGGAGATGCCACAGCAAACAACATCTAGCTCAAGTTTATACATAAGGTCCTAGTAAAAGAGATGTGAAGTCAAGGGTCTTTGCCACTCTGTCCTGAGTTCACCACTAAGGCCTGACAATCTGCTTCTCCTAGTGACATGTGAATCTTTAACAGTTCACAAGAAGATGCCCAAGTGGATTTCCAAATAATAATAATTTCCCAAGAAGACTTTTCCCCCAGCATTTTCCTGACTGTATATGATTGGAAAAGTTAGTGATGTAGTGTTAAATGAAAGCCACTGTTCTTATTCATTCTCAGAAGAATTAATTCTCTATGTTATAAATTTATCATTCTAAAATGTCTAGGAACTGTCTCCTAAGGCAAAGGAAGCAAAAGCAAAAATAAACAAATGGAACCTAATTAAACTCAAAACCTTTAGCACAGCAAAGGAAACCCCTGACAAAATGAAAAGATAACCTACCGAATGAGAGAAGGTATTTGTAAATGAAATGATTCATAGGGGTTCTTATCCAAAATATATAAACAGCTTATACAACTCAACATCAAAAAACAAGCCAATTTAGAAAATGGGCAGAAGACCTGAATAGACATTTTCCCAAAGAAGATATACAGATGGCCAACAGATAAGTGAAAAAATGTTCCACATCACTCATCACCAGAGAAACACAAGTCAAAACCACAATGTCAAAACCACAATGTCTCACACTGGTCAGAAAGTCTACAGATAACAAATACTAGTGAGGATGTGGAGAAAAGGGAACCCTAGTATACTATTGGTGACAGTGTAAATTAGTATAGCCACTATGGAGAACAGTAAGGAGGTTCCTTAAAAAACTAAAAACAGAACTACCACATGATCCAGCAATTCCACATCTGGGTATGTACCTGAAGAAAATGAAAACACTAATTTGAAAAGATATGTGCACTTCGATGTTCATAGCGGCAATATTTGCAATAGCCAAGATAAGGAATCATCTAAGTGACCATCAATGGAAGAATGGATCAAGAAGATGTGATGCTTATATACACAATGAAATATTAGTCATAAAAAAGAATGAAATTCTGCCATTTGCAACAGCGTGGAAGGACCTGGGGCGTATTGTGTTTAGTGAAATAAGTCAGACAGAGAAAGATGAATACTGTATGATGTCACTTATATGTGAAATCTTAAAAATAAAACAAGCTAATATAGTATACATAACAAAACAGAGACAGACTCGCAGATACAGAGAACAAACTAGTGGTTACCAGTTGGAAGAGGGGAGAGACAAGAGGGGTAGGAGATTAAGGGATACAAATTATGAATAAAATGAAAAAAAAAAGATATATTGTATAGCACAGGGAAATATAGCCATGATTTTGTAATAACTTTAAATGGAATATAATCTGTAAAAATATTGAATCAACTATGTTGGACACCAAAACTAATATAATATTGTCAATCAAATATCTCCAATAAAAATATAGAAACAAAGTATACAAAGTGAAAAAAAAAAAGCATGTCAAATAAGAGTGTCTCTCTCCAGAAGTGACTCCCATGAAATCTAACCTCCAGCAGCTTGAGATCAAGGCTGACTGTCCCTCTTGGTATCGACAGCTTTTGAAAAAATGATGACTCATTTTCTAAAGCATGGCTATGGTTTTATATATTACTTGTGGGCCAATGGATCCAGTCTAGTTTATTCAGCAAGCCTTCCAGCCATGCAGGACCACGTGAGAAGATGCTTGGATCTCTCGTCAGGGAGCAGATGTATGTTCCCACACATCTGTGTGACCTAAAGTGAACCAGCCCCAGGGCTCCCGGCACCTTCCCTGGAGAAGCTGGTTGTGCTCTTACCCAGGCTTCTCCAGTCCAGTCATAATGAAATGTGTGGCTTGCATCAAACACTTTCTCCCCCAAGCCCTTCTATGCATGCTTCTCTCCACCTAGAACATTCTTCCCAGGCTTCTTCCCCAAGCTAAGCCCTCCCTGCTTTTCAAGACTCAGCTGGTCACAACCTGTGGGAAACCTATGCTGAAGCCTATCTTGCTGGGGTCTCTCTCTTGATCACAGGACTCCCATCATGGTGGTGTCATGGTTTCGCTACGTCACTTCAGTTGTGTCTGACTCTCTGTGACCTGTGGACTGTAGCCCGCCAGGCTCCTCTGTCCATGGGATTCTTCAGGCAAGAATACTGGAGTGGGTTGCCATGTCCTCCCTCCTCCTGGGGATCTTCTCAACCCAGGGATTGAACCCAAGTCTCACGTCTCCTGCATTGGCAGGCGGGTTCTTTACCACTAGCGCCACCTGGGAAGTCCCCGATACCCCTTAGGGCAGGAAAATCGGTGCTGGTTTTATCCCCAGCTCTTAGCTCAGTGTGTGGCGCGTAGTAGGTATTCATCACAGATTTATTCATTACGTTGTTTATTTAAATAAACAAGAATCTGCCTGCTGGCTGCTGAGGCCTGTGGAAAAAAAACCAACTGAGCTAGAGGTTATGCAAACAAATGTACAAACCAACCCAGGGAGGCCTTGGCATTGGCAATGAGCATGGCATTTAGTTGAATAATTATCTTTTTGTTTTTTAAAAAAAAATTACTATATAGACCCAGAGGTACAGTTAAAATAATCTAAGGGTTGTCTGACAGGCATGCTTATTCCTAGAAACTCCAAAGAACAAAATGTTCATCTGCATTTTAGCAAAGCTACCCTTTAAAAAAAATAAAACATGGCATGTTTACAAGTTTAGGTTCAGTTTTGATTCTCAAATCAAAACACAAGCCTCAGTCTGTCCTCAAACCACACACAGGGACCTTAAGTCCTGCCCCTTTTTCCTGGAAGCCAGAGAAACCTCTGAATATGCTGACAGGCAGTCATTTTCAACCCTCTCTAATTTGTCTTCCATTTTACTTTTTAAAAACACAGAACTGTCATAGACAGATTATTCAGGTTTGTGAAGAGTAAAAGGAATAAATACATTCACTTAAAAAAAAATCTGTTAGGTTTCTCTTTGGTGCTAGAAAACTCTTTGCCCCGTGCACAAGGGCTAATGAACTGGTTGGAGGCACCAGGGCGGTGTATCTGTGTTTAAAAATAGGATTTGGATATAAAGCTGCAAACTTGAGGGTTGCAAAGCTGGCAGCTTGCAACTGCTTAAAAATGCTAGACTGATGGAGACCAGAAGCAACATTTGCTGTAATAACACAGCATTTTCACCAGTTTCTACTCTTAACTCATTAGCACAAATTCTCAGTCAGGAAAATAGTGGCAGAAATCCCCTCTGACCCTAGAAACTCCTCGTCTTTGGAAGGAGACCTCGGTGTATAGATTGTTCTCACATGAGGAAAACAAACAGGGAACACAGAAGGGTCCAAGCAGCCTGTTTTTTAACATGGTCCCCTTTATTAGAAAGTGTTTCTTGACAGACTTTTATCTTCAAAGTATTACTTTAGGTGTCACATATATGAAACATTGCCCCTCTTCAAGTACCCAAAAAGCTCAATTCCCTAGGATAATCCAACAATAACACCTTTTCTATAAAAGTGCTTGGGTTTTTTAAAAAATTATTTTAAATTGAGGGATAATTGCTTTATAATATTGTGTTGGTTTCCGCCATACATCAACATGAATCAGCCATAGATATACATACATATGTCCCCTCCAGTGCTTTTTAAATTTTTTTAAAATTTATTTACTTTTGGCTGCACTGGGTCTCGGTTGCTGCTCCGGGGTTTTCTCCAGTTGCAGAAGGGCTTCTCGTTGCGGTGGCTTTTCTTGTGTGGAGCATGGGCTCTAGATCACAGGCTCAGTGGTTGTGGCACACAGGCATAGTTGCCCTACTGCATGTGGGATCTTGCCAGACCAGGGATTGAACCCACGTCCCCTGCATTGGCAGGCAGATTCTTAACCACTGGACCACTAGGGAAGTCCTATAAAAGCCCTTGATCTGGGCCACTAACCTTTTCCTCCCTTGTCTTGATTCCACCCATTCTTTAAGGTCTACTCTGAATCTCACTGGCCCATTGTGCTAAGCTTTCCCTGATGATCTGATTCCATACCAACAGACTCTGTATCTGAATGGCAATAAAATCAGCCTCTACAAATTGCCTCACTCTTTCCAAGGTATATCACATCATCATTGCGGTTAATCCCTAGGACTGTTATTTCACATGTGAAAAAAATCGAGGCCCAGAGATGTCCAGTAACTTCCTTAGAGTCACACAGCTTATAAGAGACTAAGTGGGATTCCAGGCCAGACGATCTAACTCCAACATCCATGTTTACTCTGTAATTCCACTTTGCTTCTCATTGAGTATTTCCTTTTCCTAAATATGGTTTCTTCCAAGAAAAATCCCTTGAGGAGAAGAATTGTGTCTTTTTTCTTGTTAAGAAGACCAACTCATGGTCTGCTAGCCTTTTTATTTTTAATATTTATTTTTTATGGCCAGGTTGGGTCTTAGATGTGGCACGTGGGCTCTATGTTGCAGCACACGGGCTTCTCTCCAGTTGCATTGCATGGGCTCTAGAACATGTGGGCTCTGCAGTTTGTGGCACACAGGCTCCCTAGTTGAGTTGCATGGGCTCATTTGCTCCACAGCACATGTGATCTTAGCTCCCTGACCTGGGATTGAACCTGAGTCCCTTGTGTTGGAAGGCAGATTCTTAACCACTGGACCACCAGGGAAGTCCCAGGACTATGTCTTCTTTATCTTTCCTTTATACTCATCATTCTTAGAGGTCTACCAAGTACTTGTCATGTTTGGGGCAAACATGGACGTGGAGGATCCAGAGATATAGCTCATGACCAGGCCTTGGGGACAAGAAAGAATAGAGTGCAGAGGTCCTGCCTGGTGCTCAGGAGGATGTCTACCAGTTTGACTGTAGGAAACACAACCCTTCATTGGTATCTGGAACTGCCCAGTAATACCAGGTACACTCCCCTGGGATCTAATAAAGACATGTCTACCTTGAACACTACCAGGTTTCATTACAAAAATACTGTCTGGTGGAAGGGTGTTATCCTTGATTCTTACAACACCTACACAGTGTGGTCTGATGCTCATTTGAAAGCCTGCTTACCCAGCTGTAATGCTACCTTGCAGAAGTGAGCAGCAAGGCAGACATCTGTGACTAGGGATGCTGTATTAGAGGAGGTTCTTAGTGAGAAAGATTCAGATGTCTGTCTTTCTTCTTTATCTAAAATCCCTTAAGGTAGCATCCTGCTGGGCAGGACCACAAAATAGGATTTTCCTGTTCAGGGAATGGTCCAGAGAAAAAAACAGCCCACTGAACTTAGAAGGTGGCTTCTGCCTGGATGATAAATAGTCCAGGACAGAGGGTGCAGCAAGCTGTAACCGTCCAAGAGTGGGCTTTTTGTAAGGTGGCTGACATGTTGCACGGACACCACTAGTGTACTGACCTGTCTGGGTGACTCAGCAATCCTCTAACTTGTTCAGCAAACTCTCTGGAAGGAACTTAAGTTATATCCTAACTTGTATCTGCATAAGTGACATAAAAAGAGAACTAAAGAACAGTTGGGGCTTCCCTGGTGGCTGAGACGGTAAAGAGTCCACCTGCAATGCAGGAGATCTGGGTTTGATCCCTGGTAGGGAAGATCCCCTGGAGAAGGGAATGGCAACCCACTCTAGTATTCTTGCCTGGAGAATTCCATACACAGAGGTGCCTGCCGGGCCATGGTCCATAGGGTCACAAAGAGTCAGATATGACTGAGCAACTAACACACACACACACACACACACACACACACACACACACACACACACACACAAAGAATGGTTTTGAAGAAAACGCTATGGAGATGACTTTGCAAACTCTGATAAATAACGGAGTTTCTATTTTATTTCCTTCCAACTTCTCCTTCAGAGAAACCTCTTCCTTCACTGAATATTTTTTGTTTCTTCCTTTTTTTTTTTTTTAAAGTGGAGTAAATTTCTCCAGACTTCAAAGGGATGTGTGTGAAGGAAGAACTTATCTTTCTGCCTCTTACCATGTTGGGTCACCAGAATCTTATCAACAAGAAAGAGGAATCACTGTTCAAAGTAAAGAGAAAACACATCTGGAAAATATCAGTATTTGAGTTCATCAAGGCTGTGTTTAAAGACAAAAACTGCATGTTGTATTATCTTCTTTTTGTCAGTAGAAGCCTGAGGGATGGGGGCCTTGGAGTAGAGAAAGAGGAATAAGAACATGGTCTTGCCTCTAACTTGTCTCACCCCCTCAAACTCATCCCCCTTTATCCCGGTGAGATACACCCAGAGAAGGCCAAGCGATCTTTGGGATTTTAAGCTTTCAGGTAGGGCCCTGAGTCGTAGCAATTGCCTTAGAGGTCACTGGGTATCAGCTGATTACCTTTATAGAAGTCAGTCATAATTTACAATTCAACCATCCCTCTATCTTCTCATTAATTCACTCAGTAAACTTTATTGGGTCCCAGTTATGTACTATGAGCCACATGCTAGTAGGAGATTTAATAAATAAAAGATAGCTTCTTGTCTTCTTGGAGCTTACAGTTTGGGTGGTGGGACAGACCCAGTGGCCACAGTGATATAGTGCAACAGGGACTAGAGTGAAAAATGATGCCATGGGGATCAGCAGGTGGGCACCCAACTCAGCTTACAGGGACATCTTGCAGGACACGTGTCTGAGGGAGACATGAAAGGAAAGAAGGAAGAGAAAGTCATGAAAAAAAGGTGGAGAAGAGGGAAAATGTGTTCCAGGCAAATGGACCCACACAAATAGGCCAGAGCCGAGAAGGCCTTTCCACGCTCATAAAAGCAGAGGAAATATCTGTACTTTTTTTTTTTTTAATTATTTATTTATTTATTTATTTTTTTCACACAACCATAGTGTATCTTTTTTTTTTTTTTACATGTATTAAACAAACAAACAAACCCCCTTCCTTCGGATCTATTTGTATAACTAAAGAGTCTAGACTTTTTTTTTCAGAAGTAAAAATGACAAATACCACATAGAGGTATTTCTTCAAACCTTTCTCATCTCTGTTTACTTTTGTGACATCACATAGTGCCGAGTCTTAAGGATACCGATTAAATGACGGTTTGATTTCAGGCCTCTTCTTTCTCTGAGTTCACTAGGAAAAGTTGTGGAGAAGTGAGTAATGACCTCAATAATCCAGTAAAGGAAGACAGCCAGGCTTAATTACCTAGGACATAAAACACCCTCCTTTTCCCCATTAGGTTTCCTCCCCCTCATCCCCCTGTCCAGCCTTCACCATGATTTAATAGCCTTTCTTAACACTTGCTCTGTTAATCCTGGGTGAGATTAACTCATTGCAACTGGATAAAATGGCCTGGTAATTTTCCATTTTCCACTGCCCAAGTTCATCAGTCAATACACTATGGAAACACACACAATTTTCCATGGAAAGAGGTTTAGAAGTGGACTCCATAAGCCTTGATTATATGATTTTTAATATGTTTTGCTGTTCTCATGGCTAGAACTGTAAAAATGCAGTTATGAAGAAGCAAGGAAGAGAGTCCTTTGGACTGCAAGGAGATCAAACCAGTCAATCCTAAAGGAAATCAACCCTGAATATTCATTGGAAGGACTGATGCTGAAGCTGAAGCTCCAATACTTTGGCCACCTGATGCAAAGAGCCAACTCACTGGAAAAGACCCTGATGCTGGGAAAGACTGAAGGCAAAAGGAGAAGGGGGAGGCAGAGGATGAGATGGTTAAATGGCATCATCGACTCAACAGACATAAGTTTGAGCAAACTCTGGGAGACAGTGAAGGACAGGGGAGCCTGGCGTGCTGTAGTCCATGGGGTTGCAAAGAGTTCAACACAACTTAGCAACTAAACAACAAGAAGGAAGAGATTTAGCCACTCTACTGGGCCCAACCTCAGAACAGGTGGCTCCATTATGTCATCTTTGCTCATCCCAAGCACCTCGAAGAATGGCACCATTACTGTCATTTTACAGGTAAAAATTCAGTAACACTAAGAGGTTACAATTCATACCCAGGTTACACAGCCACACAAGGACTTAACGTAATTCCTGGCACGTCAACCAGCACTTAATAAGCACTAGCAATTGCTCTTCAAATGGTGGACTCAAGAACTGGACAGGGACCATTCTCATTCCAGTACCTTGTGGTCTCAGGAAACCACTAAATCCTGGGAGAACAGTGGGGGGAGTTACAAGTTGGAGGGAATTTACTTTGTCCCCAGGTCAAATTGATGGGGCAGGGAACAGAGATGGGAACGTGTGGAATTCTCCACTGTTAACCTGTCAGGGTGAAGATGAGCAGACCCCATGTCTGCCTCTCTCACTGAAACCAGACGACACGTCTGTTTCACATGTCTCTGTGAGGCTTCCATGGCTGTTTTCTAAAAAAGGGTTTACATAGTTTGTGATTCTGAATCAGGACACCTTCACCTGTGGTGTCTGGAATGCCCATGGGGGTGGGGAGAACCAACCCACTTTATCTGCAAGTCTGGGGGATTTAGGCAAAAATCCTGCACCAATCTTAAACCAGACATGTTCAAAGAATGTCTGATAAGTCATAAAGCATAGCTGAGACAGTGGTGCCATCTCTGTGGTTCATGTCTATAGCACAGCATTTTTCTGGAGCTAGATAAACAACAGTGACCACAGTAAATGTGCTAAAGAGAAAAAAAGGGAATTATAAGGCCAGTCCTCGGGTGATGTAAGCCGTGTCTCTGGAGGTCTTATCCTCTGTCAATAGAGTTTTCCTGTGTGCTGACTCCAGGGGTTTTTTGGGGCCTCTTAGAGATAAGATGAAAAAAGACAGAGGAAGAGGGAGTATCTGGAAATAAGTAGGAAAAAGCAACAAAGAGGGAGAAAAATTACAACTCATAAAAGGACCATGATTATGGTTGAAATGACTCAAGAGGAATTGCTCCTTCTCTCCTTTCAGATTCCACAGCTATTAGAAGCTCAAGACATAAAGATGGAGCTTCAGAGGTTTAAGTTTTGCATCTGAATTGTATTAATGAACTACTTCAAGCCTGCAAATGTACTTGTGTTTTCAGGTGTAAATGAATGAAGGGAAACTTGCTTTTTAGAAGGAAAAAGGAAACAGTACTTACCTTTGTATCCCAAAATGGCTACTGTGATGGTAAGCAAGGCACATAAAATGTATAATAATATGATAGAAAGCTTCAGTGCCCAGTTATTTTTACATTTGGTACATTGTGTTCCTTCCTGAATACCTGTAAGAAAAGGCAAATCTTAACAACAGTAACCAAAAGCACCATTTCAGAAGTAAATTTTTGCATTTTGGTTTAAATACTATAAGAATATAGTTTTCACATATGCCTTTCTATAGGTTGAGTGGTATTTTAAAATTAAACATACTCATTCCTTGAGCAACACATTTAACACAACTTACATATTGCCATTATGTTATTATAAACATATTTAATGACTTGAAAATAGCACAGAACTTTGTTTCATAGAACAGTTTCCAAATCACATTCCATTATGATAAGATCTCTATATGACAAAAGACTTAAAACACCCAAATCTACCTGTTTCAGCCATTGTTGGACCAACAGTAATTCAAACACAACTAAGCAAAAAAAAAAAAAAAAAGTGACTTTTCCCTTGACATTTGTTTCAGTGGTATGCTTGAGTTAATTCCTACTGCTTTCAAGAGTCACTTGTCAAATTTGTAGGAATTTGGGGAGCTGGTTGTTAAATTGTTGGCAGCTTGAAATCAACCCTGGAGGGACTATTTATACCATGGAAATTTGCAAACACTATACATGAGGCCCTCACACATCCCAAATTGGTTTACCAGCATGCCACTGGCTATAATGTACTATATAACTTAATAATGTGCTATAATTTACTATAGCAGAAAATATATGTAATTTTAGGATTAAAATGTTCAATATATAGCCACTTTTGTACATTACATATATGCAGAAAACAGACACCGACCCTTATTTAAGTTATCACAGTGATATGAATAACAACTAGGGAACAACCAGAAAAATCAGACATTTCTGATGAGAAGAGGTAAATTTTTATTGCTCACAGTTGAACTTTTTGAAATACACTCTAAGTGGTAAACCACCATCACTTCTGCAAGGGACTCCAGAAACTAACGCATAAAAAGGGAACTTGCCATAGTGTTATTAGAAACACAGAAGACAAAGGCTCTGGACACTTTAATGAGAAAATCACATTGTAAGGCATGTCGGGAGAGTCCTCCTTGCCCTGATTGGTTTTCCTATGTGCATCTCACTAATAGCGTCCCCCAGGAGCAATAGCACATAAAGGACTGATCTCCTAGAATTGTGCTCAATAACTTTTGATGGATAAATTGTGAAGATTAAGCCACAGCCGAAGTTCCTACCCTTTGGTTTGTAATTTTACGCCTAGTGCCCTTCTTCAGTGAAAAGAGTCCTTCAGCTGTGTTTAATGCAAAATGATGAGAGAAACAGCATAGAACAATGCCTCAAATTTAACTTCCAGGGTTTAACCAATCCCTCCCGTGTTCTGGGTTATACGCCCAAGGGGAGGGGGTTCAAGCTCTCTGTTCCATGGCTTAGAGCAGTGATTCATGGCTTAGAGCAGTGTTTCTTCAACTTTCTTATTTCCATCCCTCAATACTACCACCATTCCATCCCACTGGATTCACTTGAAGGGCTCGTTAAAACACAGCCTTTCTAATTCAGGAAGTCTGAGAAGGCGCCTGAGAATCTGAATTTCCAACAAGTGCCCAGGGGCTGTGATGCTGCAGGTCTGGCCGCAGTGAGTTAGAACAGTGCTTCTCAAAAAGTGCTCACAAATCACGTTGAAATGCAGATCTGATTCAGTAGGTCTGAGGCAGGAGCTAAGACTCTGCATTTCTAACTAGGTCTAGGAGATGCTTCACTGGAGGAACACATTTTGAGGTGCTAAGGTTTTAGGAGATGGTTGTGCTGGATCAACCTTTGGTTAACCAGTCCCTTGAAGGTGAACCTGTAAAATCGGACTCATTAATCAAACAGACCTAGAGTTAACCAGCTTCTCAGTATCGTGTTTTTCTCGCTTCTTTTTCTCCTTTCCTTTCCATCCTCCTTCTTCCATTGCCATCTGGATGTTTCAGTGCCCCCTCCTGTGTCCAAAACTGACATCGGTACCAGTCCTGCCAAACCAGATCTCCAACTTCCACCCAACTTACTTATTTCCATCCCTAAATACTACCACCATCCCAATCCTTCAGGTACTCACACTCAGACATCTTGAAGTCTTCTCTTATAATTATTCTATAACTCAATCAACCACCAGATGTTTTTAATCTTCCTACATATATTTTTGTCATGATCATCTCATCTACAGTTTATTGATCTTCACTTACTGGCAACCTGTCCCAGTATTCTTGCCTGGAGAATCCCATGGACAGAGGAGCCTGGTGGGCTACAGTCCATGGGGTCACAAAGAGTTAGACATAACTGAGCAGCTAACACTTTCACTTTACTGCCTACACGGTGCCAGACTCTGATCTAGGGACTTCACATAACCACCCTTCAAGCAGGGAGCAAAAGCTGAAATGACATCCCACAGACATCATAGCTAGGATTTAAACCGGGGTCTGTCTGATTCCAAACGCCATGATATCTCCCCTACATCAAGGTGCCAGTGTCTCTCTGCTTAAGCTTTCCTATCCATTTCCACAGCCCCAGTCCCTAGTGTGAGATCTTCTCATCTCAGTGGAAGATTCCTCTTCCATTCCCACTGGAATCCAGCCTCACCCTGTAACAAAACACTGCTGACCTTATGAAGGTGCCAGAAAGAAAAAAAAAAAAACAAGAAAACTTTCAACGGTTCACTCTTAACTAAAGGATGAATACACACAAACATGTCTATCTGCTCTTAAACTCTTTGTAATCTTGAGAGTTTAAAATGAAACAAAGTCCTCTTATACCCAGGCTTCCCAGGTGGCACTCGTGGTAAAGAACGTGCCTACCAATGCAGGAGATGTAAGAGATGTGGGTTTGATCCCTAGGTCAAGAAGATCCCCTGGAGGAGGGCATGGCAACCCACTCCATTATTCTTGCCTGGAGAATCCCATGGACAGCGGAGCATGGCAGGCTACCGTCCATAGGGTCCCCAAAAGTTGGACACAACTGAAGTGACAGCACGCATGCAGAGTGAAAATATTTTTGCAATTGGGAGGGAAGAAGAACAGGTAGAAGGAAATCAACCCTGAATATTCATCAGAGGGACTGATGCTGAAGGAGATGCTCTAATACTTTAGCTACCTGATGCAGAGAGCTGACTTATTGGAAAAGACCCTGATGCTGGGAAAGATTGAAGGCAGAAGGAGAAGAGGGTGAAAGAGGATGAGATGGTTGGATGGCAACACCTATTCAATGGCCATAAACTCTCGCAAACTCCAGGAGATGGTGAGGGACAGGGAAGCCTGTTGCACTGCAGTCCACGGGGTTGTGAAGAATCAGACATGACTTGGTGACTGAACAGGTAGACCCACAGACTTGCTGAATCTCATGTTCAGAAAATAGTTAACATGCTTTGATGGCAACTGTAAAACACAGGAGGAGAGTAGATCCCAGGCTGCAGTGGAAAGACTAGATGACACTTTTATAGCTGATGTGAGGTTTCATTCCTTTTGGGTTTTAGGACCCTGGGGGGGTCGGCGGTGAACTCTTCACATCTCTTCAGGGCTTTCTTACATTCCATTAGAAGAGCCTCAGAAGATTTGGTCAGAGGGGAGATGACAGTAGATAACAGAATCTGGGGTTAGAGGGTTGCCTAGAGGTCGCCTGGTCAAGCATCGTCCTGTTTCTGATGGGGAGAGTGAGGCCAGGTAAAGCAGAATCAGAAAGAATGCATCCTGATTCCTGGTGCAGGGGCCCTTCCTTCCCCTGACTGCCATGCCAGCCGGCGCTGGGTTTATCCCTGGACATCTTGGTCTGACAGCTCTGCTCCCAGACAGCTGTCACTGGCCCACACGCCGAAGAGCAGGGTCACTTCCTTGTGACACGCATTTCTCCTTGCTGACTCTATCAGCATCTAATCAACATCAGATGGCACCTCCCGTCCCATTTGACACACTTTCTCTGTCTTGTTTTTTCTCCCTCCCAAGACTTATTTTTCATAAGAATTCTGTTTTATCTTTCCCTATCTGCCCTCCGCTGGGAGGACATCTGGCCAAACATACGGATGCCTACTACAAAGAGACCCTGCTGGCTCACGGAGCTGGGGGACCCCCTCCTCCTTGGACCTAGATGGTCACAGAAAACATTCAAGAGAGATATCCCCCTGTTACCAGCCTTTGTAGCGTTTGTTTTCTTAGCATTACTTTCCAGAGATGGGGGACTTGATTCCCACTGCGAGGGGCGGGTAGGAAGGGCAGTGAAGGGATGGAGGCGAGCTGCAGAGAAGAGATTCTAGCTCAGGAAGTGAAACCTGCATGCCCCTCACCACCAAGAGCCAGCTTATCACAGAGCCTGGCCCAAACAGCACATCTGCAATTCAGCAGCCCACAGAGAGAATGTGTCTGCAGGATCCGTGCCCTCCCACAGGCTACCCGCCTTGCTCTAGCCCCACTGAGCTCGATTCTAGGCTCCTGTTCTGAATGCATCTTCCAGTGTCCAAGGCTGTATTATACAAAAACACTGGGGAAGCCAAAGTAAGTCAGAATCCCTCTGGCTGACTCCTTGAGTATTCTGCGGAAGTTCAGAATAGACTGACAATTTGATCCCCAGTCCACAAACTCCAAGTTACCTGATCCACCCTTGTTTCCAACAATACGTTTGTTTAAAGTAAGAAGACGGGGGTTGATGGGGCCGCCGACCAGGGGGTGGTTAGCTGGTTGGAGAGAATACATTGAAACGCTGTGCGAATGATGGTGCAGAAGGCCAGAAAAATTCACCAGCAAAGAGAATTTCTTTCTGCTGTGGTTCTCCATAAAGAGCCCTCCCAAGTTCTGTGGTCCCAGCCCCAATCCAGTCTGTTTTTCTACTCTTTTTGGAAAACAAGAGTCTCTTTCACTATCATATTTTTCGACCATCACCAAAGGAGCGCTCTCTGTTAACACGGATGCGTACTGATCAGCAAGCGGCCTTCCTTGCTACCTGAAGGCTGGTGCCGTGGGCGAGTGCAGGGCACTTCCCAGCTGTCTTAATTACCATAAGTGTCCAGAGCTCAGTGGTGTTGCCATAAAGATCATGTTACCACAGGGAAGCTTCAGAAAGCT